TTCATCTGGTCCGCTAAGCATCGAGTCTATGCACTTCAAGACTAACAAAGTTTATATGCGTCCATCCATCTGAGCACCACCACCAAACTCCGATGCCCCCACATGAAGTGAATGATACGATAAGCAGGTTGTCTTGTTTTTTTTTGAACAGTTGCATGTAAAGGAAAGCTGCCTTGTCCACAAGACTTGTGCAGGGACACGTTCACCTACACCTCTGAGCTGTTATAAAAGATACTTTCGCGGTGAACACTCGATACAGGGATGCTTCTATTTACCTTCTATTGCACAAAGGACAAGGTTCTTGTTACAAACAAAGCAGTGGACTACTCGAAGCTTAACTTTCTGGAGTCAGCCGATGCTACAAGTGTTTTCTCACTGGCTGCCGTGGCTAAGTAACATTGGAATTTATGCCTTTCTAGAGTAGTATCAAATATCTTCGATTTTCACTCGTTTAGTTCGCCTAACACACAGTTTGAGTTTTTCTGCTTGCCTGTGTCGGCCTTAAATGAAGGTGTCTGTTCAACATCGACAATTGCTAGGCTTTCATGTGCCAAACAAGATATAATTTTGATGTACGCTGTAGTGTGCACATCAAGATTGTGACAGCTTGGGGTTCTCCAATGCGCACATATATCTTGGTTCACGGGTGTTCTTTTTATATTGCCCCCCCCATTGAAGTGCGGCTGCCGAGGTTGCTAATCTATTTCGCGCCCTCGAGAATAGTAGCGCGACTTGACACGTGTTATGCTGCCACAGTGGTTTGCTTGATCAACGTCCCCGTGCATACATACCGCGAACAAGGCGTACAAACGATGCCAGATGGAAAAAATGATGCAGCTACCATTTACTCTGCTTTTGTTTTTATTTTACTGCAGATATTGGCAGCATGGTATCGTCGCAGCACGGACTCATGAATGGGAGCATGTCAGCCGGTACTAGCATTAGTCCAAAACCCAGTATGCAACCAAAAAATGAGGAAGAGGGAGCTGCCATCATGGCACAGCACTGTCCCTTCGATACTATATGCATAGACGCAGTCCGCTTTGCAGGCCTTCTCTCCGTTTTTTAGTGCTTTTTATGTTAGAGTAGCCTTCAGACAAAGTTTTGTTCTAAACCACAGTACAGTATTACTGGTTCAATGGATTTTCGAGCTGTTCGTTCCAAAATGAAGCGCATCAGCGGCGCACACGCGTGCTCTCAGAGTGGTACACTGGGCCGGTCATCTTAGCACGAGCAGCTAAGTTGTGTCGCGACTCTTCGCCAAGTGCTCTTTTTCGGCGCACCACCTATCCAGCACTGGTCCCCCATAACTTAGACAGAGGGCCCCATTTTTCTATGAAGTAGAGGGCATATCTCACCATTCGACAATATAGGGACATTAAACTAGTTTTCATAAGTTTAGCAAAACATGGTGCTCTCCAAAAGAATTCTCGTAATATCTTGTTCGTACTAGATCCACATATTACTGGTTTGATGACATAATAGCACACGCGATAATTTTAAAAAAAAAAGCTACTCTTAACTAGGATGGCTGGATGCCAACCATGTTTGATTTTCGCTCTATTGTTGTTGCCTGTATCGCGGATGCTGATCATTCGATTGCACGCGTTCGGGTGGCCAAAATGGTTTCTATACGAACTCGCTGCCACTGTCTCATTTCTTCAGTCGGGAAGTCAGTCATGCGCCCCGCTTCAGCTGACTGTACTCACGCCCAGTCACGCATATCCTCGGTCATGTTGGTTTTTTGAGTGTGTCTTGCAGCTATGGAAAGTTCTGTGAAATCATCATCATCATCATCATCAGCCTGACTACGTCCACTGCAGGACAAAGGCCTCTCCCATGTTCCGCCAGTTAACCCGGTCCTGTGCTTGCTGCTGCCAATTTATACCCGCAAACTTCTTAATCTCTTCTGCCCACCTAATCTTCTGTCTCCCCCTAACCCGCTTCCCTTCTCTGGGAATCCAGTCAGTTACCCTTAATGACCAGCGGTTATCCTGTCTACGCGCTACATGCCCTGCCCATGTCCATTTCTTCTTCTTGATTTCAGCTATGATATCCTTAACCCCCGTTTGTTCCCTAATCCATTCTGCTCTCTTCTTGTCTCTTAAGGTTACACCTACCATTTTTCTTTCCATTGCTCGCTGCGTCGTCCTCAATTTAAGCTGAACCCTCTTTGTAAGTCTCCAGGTTTCTGCTCCGTAGCTAAGTACCGGCAAGATACAGCTGTTATATACCTTTCTCTTGAGGGATAGTGGCAATCTACCTGTCATAATTTGAGAGTGCTTGCCGAATGTGCTCCACCCCATTCTTATTCTTCCAGTTACTTCAATCTCGTGGTTCGGCTCTGCGGTTATTACCTGCCCTAAGTAGACATAGTCTTTTACAACTTCAAGTGCACTATTACCTATCTCGAAGCGCTGCTCCTTGCCGAGGTTGTTGTACATTACTTTCGTTTTCTGCAGATTAATTTTAAGACCCACCTTTCTGCTCTCCTTGTCTAACTCCGTAATCATGAGTTGCAATTCCTCCCCTGAGTTACTCAGCAATGCAATGTCATCGGCGAAGCGCAGGTTACTAAGGTATTCTCCATTGACTCTTATCCCTAACTGTTCCCATTCTAGGCTTCTGAAAACCTCCTGTAAGCACGTGGTAAATAGCATTGGGGAAATTGTGTCCCCCTGCCTTACACCCTTCTTGATTGGTATTCTGTTGCTTTCTTTATGAAGCACTATAGTAGCAGTTGATCCCCTGTAGATTTCTTCCAGAATGTTTATATATACTTCATCTACGCCCTGATTCCGCAGTGTTTGCATGACGGCTGATATTTCTACTGAATCAAACGCCTTCTCGTAATCTATGAAGGCTATGTATAGTGGTTGGTTATACTCTGAGCATTTCTCTATTACCTGATTGATAGTATGAATGTGGTCAATTGTTGAGTAGCCTGTTCGAAATCCTGCTTGTTCCTTTGGTTGATTGAATTCTAACGTTTTCTTTACTCTGTTAGCAATTACCTTTGTAAATAGCTTGTACACTACAGAGAGCACATTCATATTCTAGGCCACATTCATATTCTAGGAGCACCTTTTCTGCCATAAAAATTATTTTTGTGGATAAACGTCCCAGTCAGCGAAAGCTCTACCGGACTACCAGTATAGTTGTTACCAACTAACATTTGTTGCCAGCAAGCTTTAGTACTTTTTTATTTCTCCCAAACTCCGTAGGACTAAGGTGAGGGTCATCATTTCAAAATAACATTTGTTTTCATCACGTGAAAGCACACAAGTATAATTTAATTATGTCTGCTTAAGGTAACTTGTTGTAAAGGGCATTAGATTTGCTGTGTGACAGGGCTATAACTCTTGAGTTCAAACTGAAAGCCTTGGAAATGCTTAGAAGTTGGTGTGCAGTACTCGCTGGCTCTGTAACTTAAAGGTAAATCCATATGAGCCTAAAAATTCCAGTTCTTGTTCAAAAATTTGTCTTGTTGAGTAAAATCTAATCAAGGTCACATTATACAATGTATTGATGAACAAACTTGACTTATGCAAAAGAAAGATAGATGCTCAGGTGAGTTGGTAATCTGCATCTTAAGAGGGCGCATACACACCAATACAAAAGAATAGCGAAGGAACCAACAACACGAGAACAGAGCTCCTCTTTTTGAGCGCTTTTGTCATAGGTTCCTTCTTTATTCTTTTGTGTTCGTGTGTGTGCACTGTCTTAAAATGTTGACTTAAAATCTACATATGTATCTATTTGAATAAGGCTTTGACAGAGGCTAGCTGGTACGGCATCATTAATTTGCTGGCTTAACTGCGATGCCAGGACGCAGGTTTCCTGTTTTCTCATTTCGTCCCGCGCAGCAAAATAATTCTATATATATATATATATATATATATATATATATATATATATATATATATATATATATATATATATATATATATCACAAATTAATTACTAATAGAAGGGAAGTGCAAACATTATCAGCTGAAGTTATATAGATAGAGGCAACTTTGAACTACAACACTATGACAACTTCAGCCACGAACAAATGCATTGGGTTGTACGACGGTACGAAAAAACATACTCGGCACTGAATGTAGCGTGAAATGAGTTTTGTAGTTGAGGCCAACCGTTTGCGCATTCGAACACGCTCGTGAGTCGTCATATATATAACTGCGCTCCTTACGGCCGAAAAATAAATACCGCGCTCGCAGCGAAAGCGTCATTTGTCCTATCGAACCATTCGTTTATAGAAGTTGTTCAATTATCGAGATCGATAGCTGTACTGGAGGCAACGCGCATACGATGATGCTGCGATGTGTGCGCGCTTCCCGTGTCACGCGCCGTCGATGAACACACACAGGATCTGTTCCGCATGAACCGAAACGAAGCAGCAGTTCCTTCTCGAGAATCTTCCGGCGTCACCGTCACTAATTGCGGAGAACGGCAGCACGCTTCCCTTCACGCGACAAGGACAACGAAACGATGAACAAATGCCTGCGACGGCCTCAACCAAAAATAATATTCACGGCCGGTAACCGCCAAGAATGCGCGCGGGAGCATCTGCGCCGCGGTCTCCCAGAAAAGAGCGTTAGATGTTCACTCGAAACCGTAGTTGAACAGGGTGTCCTGATCGACGGCGTACGAACGCGACCGGCTTTTTCCGCAGAATACTTCAGCGAGGCCGGATGAGAAACAAAAACAAATTGCTCGTGCGCACACGCAAAGCAATCATCCGGCAAAGGACGTAAACAATTACGGCACTTGTCACGCATGGCACGGTCAGTTCCATCGCCGATTTGTGCCCTAGCGACAGCGTACATCTTGGGCCGCCCACCGGCCGAAAGGAGCGAAGGGGATAGCTTTTCCCGCAGACAAGCGGCGCCCCTCGAGGGATGAAGAACCCGTTCGAATGGCACGATCGCGACCAGACCGACAGGGCGCTCGCCAGAACGCGAAAAAGAAAAAAAAAACATTTGCGTCCCACTCACCTGCACGGCGCCACCGCAAGCTCGTCGGTCCGCTTTGACCGCAGTGCCGAATGAAGCACAGAACACCTATAAGGAAGCCACCGCGCGTGAAATGACGATGAGACTGGTGCCGCGCGCGCTCTCTACAATCGCGGCGGCGCACCACTCGCTTCTTCCGATGCCGCTGCTAAACAACTTTCGCTACTCCTTGCAAGAGAGTACTAGAAGTGTTGAGTGGCGTGACCGCACCTCGTCGCCTGATCCCTACGGCGTTGCCCACAGCGGCGGCGCTGCCGTCGAGTAGTACTAAGAGAGCCGCGTGCAGGAACTGCTATACGCTTCGGCTCCTCCGTCGCAATTTCTTAATGCAGATTTCTTCGTACCTGCCCATCATTCATGCCTAGCACATGATGCCATAGCCCTTGAAGTATGACACGCCAATATACTGAACTTGAGCTCCATAAAAGCCCTTGTGAGAGATAAAAAATAATTCAAAAAGGGTGTGTTTTATACTTATTTCTTCTCTCTTAACTCTTTCTTCGTTGCTTGGGCGTCTACAATACTCAGAATTACTGAGCCGATTTATTTGAAGTTAGCTGTGGTAAGAAAGCTGTGGGATTAAAAAAACAAATACTGTGTCACATGCACGCAGAACCAGAAAGCCATAAGTAAAGAGACGAGAGGAAGGGAATCTGAACCCTCTACACCAGGAAATGTTTTCGTAATTTAACTTTTCAGGGTATTTTAAAATATTCATACGCATTCACAGCGACCACGAAGTGCAAAAGTTAGGCGTTCTGCTGCACCCCCCCCCCCAAAAAAAAAAGAAATCTGCCATGAGTAGTCCTGCGCCTGTAGTTTACAGTTGGCGAAGTGAATATAGCGTGTCTCTACAAATGCGCACTATAGATTTCACTTTTTCGACAGTATCAGGTCTCAAAACTGGTTCAAGTCTCCCGTATTCGGACGAGAAATGCACCGCCTGAAAATAGTAGCTGTGCTAAAGATCATCGCATGAATATATATATATATATATATATATATATATATATATATATATATATATATATATATATATATATATATATATATATATATATATATATATATATATATATATATATAAACAATGAAGTGCTAACATAGGACCCGGAAGTAAAAGTTCAAAAAAATCAAGCACGTAGGAAAAATTGTTTTGTAAAGGACTGACGTTTCGGCCGCGGGACCGGCCTTCGTCGGAGTGATGTCATTCCGACGAGGGCCGGTCCCGCGGCTGAAACGTCAGTTCTTTACAAAACAATTTTTCCTACGTGCTTGATTTTTTTAACTATATATATATATATATATATATATATATATATATATAAATATATATATATATATAATGTGTGTGTGTGTGTGTGTGTGTGTGTGTGTGTGTGTGTGTGTGTGTGTGTGTGTGTGTGTGTGTGTGTGTGTACAGTGTATATATATATGGAAGGTAAATTTCTCAAAACAAGATGCACCACTGCCTACCTACACAATTGATAATAATAATAGAACTATACACTTTTAATACAAAACATCGTCATAAATTTGCTCGCTTGCAATGGCGTTACGCCAATAGAATATTTGAAAAGCAGCACAATTTAAGCTGTCGATACAAAATGAGGACTGATTATAATTAATTTACGCAGAAAAACAGACAAGCTATACATACAATTGGCATTTTTTAATATCTTTGTGTGTCGTTTTAATAAGTTTATACGTATTAAGCCTTTCGGAAAGCAATAATTATTATTTTCCGCAAAACTGGCATGATAAAACAGAGTCGTCACCGATTAATGTTGTGACAACGTTACTTATACTCGGGTTTCTCGTGAAACAACCGAGTGCATGTAGGCTCATATGAGGAACACTCTGATCTGTATATCGTAGAGACTGCCGACAAAACAAGCGTATGATTTAATCACGGTTTTAATACTTCTCATCTCTTTGCAGTTCGCCAGTAGCCATTTATGATGTGACACAGCTCAAAGCGCTGATTAAGTAAGAAGCTAGGCAGATCCGTGAAAATTTTGTATGACTTTTTTTTTTTTCTGGGTCGGCAGGTTCTTGAAACAGTGAATGTCTCGACGCAATTTTGGCATGCCTGCACATTCACTCGTGCACTATGGCGAGTTGCAGGTCCGTCCTCTCATAAAGGCTCAGAAACGCATTAAACGCGCTAAAGACGAGCAGTTACACGCTTTCGCAGGCTCGGGCAGGCGCGCTTCCAATGCAGACGCTCCTGAAATCTTAAGTACCATGCGACTGCAGCGCTGCCGCTACTGTCACCCACCGGAGAATTAGCCGAGATGCGGCGCGGCCGCCTCATTCACTCCACTGCCCCCTTCTAGTACACTGTATCCTTGCCGACGCTGGCGCTTATGTCGTTAGGAAGCGGGATTTGCAAGGTCGCCGCGTTGATCCAATTAGGTGTTTGCAAGCACGTGTAGTTCACAACAGAAACATCAAGTAGCAACAAAATTGGCTATTGGGTGTGCACTGGGACTTGCGATCCAGAAGCTGCCCCAAGTTCATAAAATGCACTCTCCTACCACGTGGAGAAGGTAAAAAGCGTGTTCAGCGCGTCGAATGTGAAACCGAAACTGCTATGCGTTCTGTTTTCTCCCCCCCCCCCCAGCTATACCCCGGCTTCTCTCACTTTGCGCGTATCGTGATTCGTGTTAACTTGAGAATGGGCAGCTGACCTTTAGCCGCCAAGGAGCGAGCGCGGTCGTGATTAGGAAAACGGCTCATGTTTATTCGTAAGTTCTGTGAGCGAAAGTCGAGAGAGTGGCATTTTGCTTAACTTGCCACATATTTATCTGATAACCACGCACAGATCGTAGACTGTTTATTTCTCTTAACATCACAACCCTCAATTTTGATCACGTTACAGGAGCTTAAGTTTTCACGGCACGGCTACTTCTGTCTTACATACTTTCGCAAAGAGCACACACCATCTTCACAATGGAGAGCGAAATAGCTATAGAATGATCAATTCTTTTTTAATTTCCTTGCTTCAACAGCATATATATATATATATATATATATATATTATATATATATATATATATATATATATATATATATATATATATATAAGGGAAACAAGTGTATACTTAAGGGCTCGTTTTTCGTGTTTTACACAATAATAATGAGATCTAACAGACAATAATGCCAACGAAGGTATATCTAGGGGAAGTTATTAGGCCAATTGTAATGGCAATGAGAAAAAAGAAAAGTGGGGGAAAAGATAACTTGCCGTGGGCAGGATCCCAACCTGCGACCTTCGAATAACGCATTCGATGCTGTACCACTGAGCTACCACGACAGCCATCCCCCCAGCCACTTTATTGGGTATCTATTTCAATTTGAACGTATATATATATATATATATATATATATATATATATATATATATTGTGACGACGCGAGATCGACGAGCACACAAAGCGCCTCAAACAAATACGATTTATCGATCGCAGGAAACAGACTGCAACGACTTCTTTGTCTTTTGCCCTCGGCCAAAGACACTCGAGCTGCTTCGTTGTCCTCACCACTGGCACATACGCGCGTCATTATTCTCCCTTTAAAAAAACATCGTCCCGATGTTAAACGTTTGAGAAGCAAGGCGAAACCAAAACTGCCCAGTTAGTCACTGAAAGTAAGGCTTCATCCGAAGCACGTGGACAATTTCTGGTGAATGTCTGCGCCGCTTTGAACACTGCACGCCGTCCGGAACAACCTCGTAGTTGACGTCACTAATGCGTCGCAGAACCTTGTAGGGTCCGAAGTATCTTCACAACAGCTTTTCGGAAAGCCCACGCTGACGAACAGGTGTCCAGACCCATACTTTGTCGCCCACGTTGTATATGACGGGTCTGTGCCGGAGGCTGTAATACTTGGCATCGTCGTCTTGCTGTTTGGTGATTCACAACCTGGCAAGTTGTCTGGCTTCTTCTGCTAGCTGGGTAAACTCTTCGGCGTCTGTCTCATTGCCATCATTTTCATGAGGGAGCATTGCGTCTAACGTTGTTGTAACCTCGCGTCCGTGAAGGAGACTAAAGGGTGTCTTCCGAGTGGTCTCTTGACGAGCCGTGTTGTACGCGAACGTGACGTATGGCAAAATGATGTCCCAGTTCTTGTGCTCTACATCTACGTACATGCTTATCATGTCAGCCAGGGTCTTGTTGAGGCGTTTGGTGAGCCCGTTGGTCTGGGGATGATACGCCGTTGTCTTCCTGTGAGCTGTACCACTTAGTCGGAAAATGTCCAAAAGCTCGGCCATGAACGCAGTACCTCTGTCGGTGATGACTATTGCGGGGGCACCGTGTCTTAAGACGATGGCTTCGATGAAAAATTGCGCCGCTTCAGCTGCCGTTGCCCGTGGCAGAGCGCCTGTCTCCGCGTATCGGGTCAGGTAATCCGTGGCGACGATTACCCACCTTTTTCCAGTGGCAGACTTTGGGAAGGGGACCAGAAAATCCATGCCAATTTGTGCAAACGGTGTCGCCGGAACTCGAACAGGCTGCAGCAGGCCAGCTGGTTTGATGGATGGTGGCTTGCGGCGCTGGCAACCTAGACATGCGTACACGTAAGTTTTGACAACTTCGGCAAGTCCTGGCCAGTAATAGTTCTGCCTTATCCTAGCCAATGTTCTTGCGTAACCCAAGTGACCAGCGGTAGGTTCGTCGTGACAGGCTTGCAGTACCTCACGGCGAAGCGAAGAAGGAACGACGAGCAAGTAGCTGCTGCCGGTGGGTGAAAAGTTCCTCTTATAAAGAACGACATTTCGCAAGCAGTACGACGGCAGCCCTATCGCAAATAACTTCGGAACGCCATTCGCTCGCCCTTGTAGGTAATCTATAAGTGGTAGCAGCTCAGCATCGCGTCGCTGCTGTTGAGAAAAGGTGGCAGTGTCCACAATTCCGAGAAAGGCCGTGTCGTCATCGTCGTTGTCCGGGGATGCCGTCTCAACAGGAGACCGAGAAAGACAGTCGGCATCGGTGTGTCGTTTTCCCGACTTGTAGGCAACAGTGAAGTCAAATTCTTGAGCCGAAGACTCCATCGTGCAAGGCGGCCAGATGGATCTTTCAAGTTGACTAACCAACAGAGAGAGTGGTGATCGCTGATAACGG